GATTATATCGTGCATCCCTAATTTTTATACTTTGGACCCATCTAAACCTATAAAATGATAATTTAAACAATATATTTTTGTTTTGGCTTAATTAACTCTTTTATTCAGCACCACTCACAACGTTTTATGAATCTATTATCAAAGATGAATGATGTTAAAGCAAATGTTGCAGCTATGACCTTTAAATTTCAGCTAATCACTCTGCTGTCTTTGCCTCCTTTCCTTCACTACATACACACAGCGTCATGTGAGCGCATTATGGGGAGTGGCTTAAGAGTAAAGCATACATCACTCGTGATTGGCTAAAACATAGGGGATATTTGATTGGCTGGGAATCTTTTTGTTTTTGAGTCTCAACACTAAATACAGATACTAGAGGTAAATACCGGGAATTTTTAACTGATACGATACCAAGTAAATACAGGGTTAGTATCGGCAATATCAATACAACAGCGATACCTTTTAAACATTTAAGCTTTATGTATTTATTTATTTATTGGGGCAATGAGCAAAGTTTCGTCTCCTCTTTCTGTTTCTGTAGCTCGACGTTTTCTTGCTCGTGTTGGTTTTTCATGTGCTTATATAAACATGTTGTGTTTCCACTGCATTTAATTGGCTTTTTACAAACCATAAAGCTTGCCCTTGTTTCATTTACATTCCTAAAATATAGACAAACGCCGCTTCTTTCCTTCTGCATGTTTTTCTGCAGTTGTATGTGTCGGGTTGAGAGAGAGCCGAGTGGGCGGGGCCATGCCCAGTCTCCGTGCTGAGCCGGCGATGTAACACAGGCGGGCAGACTGGTCAATCTGCTGCAGTTAGTGCGTGCAGGAGAGAAGAAAAAGCATCGATCTTGTTAAACCAATATTGATTGATATCCAGACCAAAGTTGTTATCGATAGTATGGATCCTAGCATCCATCTGCCCCCCTCTAACAGATACATTTATATGTATACGTCAGAAATACATTTTGAATCTTATTCTATGCATGGATTGTGTGATTGATGTGAATTCTGAGATACTTTTACCTCCATACAGACCAGAACCAGGAGAGTCTATGTTCTGCTTAGGAAAAGAAAAAAACAGACTGAGGAGCTGAATGGGAAAGATCCCCAGCTGTAAGAATCTGGAGGTTCTGGTCCAAGGGACCCCATAACAACGTGTCTGACTGGAGGCCAGATGTCACAAAGCATCATTTTTATACAAATAAATCTTGAGCTCATTATAGATATTAGATATTCTGTTATTTGTTCATTTTCTGTCAATATAATTTTCTAAATAGTCAGATCAGAAACAGGTTTAAAGCTATGCAGACGTTTTGGTCTTTGTCGAAAGGTCTGTCAATATAATTTTCTAAATAGTCAGATCAGAAACAGGTTTAAAGCTATCCAGACGTTTTGTTCTTTGTCGAAAGGTCAGATGTTCCTCCTGTAAACGAGCTGGATGTCTGAATAACAAATCAGCACTAAAAGAGTTTTTGGCTAAAATTCCAAGTCAGAGTTTTTCCCCCTCATGTGAAAACCCAGAATCGGATCATGATTCAGCGAACTGATGCTCTGGTGCCCTCAGTGTGTGGAGTGATTTCTGCTCTGACTCACAGTGTGTCCGGCTCTGCTGCTCAGGTGTTCAGCTGCGACCAGCAGAGCGTTCAGTGTGGCCCCTCCGCTGCCCAGCGGCTCCTGCCGGTCCCTAACGGTCAATAGCAGCGCGGCCCCAGGTAGACTGCCGCGTTGCTGCCGTAGCTCCAGCTCTGAAGCACAAAATGTCAGGGACATGGAGACAATCTGTGAATAAACTTAAATCTGCTCCATGGGTTCATTTTGAAAACAGGCATCAGAGTCAGTTTAGGGCCAAACATGTCTCTGAGGAGCAGGGGCCCCTTTGTCCCTCCTCTATTTCCACATTAATCCTTAGTTAATGAATCAGCCCCTGACAAACTGATCCACCTCCTGTTCCGTTCTGTGTTCTTTCACTTTGACCTTTTCTTCTAAAGCCTAAATTTTCTCTCTTCTTTCACCAATATCAGTGATTGCATCTCCTTGCTAATAAACATGACTCATTTTCAAAAGTGATCTTTTTGGGAGATTTAAGCTTCTTAACTTTGACCTTCGATTCATTTCAGTAATAGATGTTAGTCGAAAAGAGTACAGGACATTGTTTTGGTTAATCACAAAACACCCAAAGTTTTGCAGCAAAATAATCTTAACTGCATTTTTTCTTTGTGTAGAATATATAACTTGATTCCTGTATTTTATCTAATTGAATAATGAGGGAAAGAAGTTAGTCAGGCCCTTTATACAATTCTTTGTGAGTCATTAATTAAGAATTATTTGGCAGATTAGAGGCAGACGAAAAAACTGAGAGTTCTTTATTACGAATGTGACACAATTGGAAGGAGTTTCATTAATTTTAATTAATTTCACAGCCGTATAACTGGATTCCAATTGGACCAGCTTGCCTTGTAATGTGCCCGGCGATTAATTTGTTGTCCTTCGGAACTACATCAATAAAAAAAAAAAAAACTGAATGTTGGAACTGTAACTGATTTACATTTGTATATTCACATTATCATTGCTGCTTACCTTTATCAATGCTGAACTTTAAAAAATTAAGTGTCTTGAGAGCTTTACTTAACAAATTTCTTTTTGTACACACTCTGTGTGTACAAAATGATAAAATGTAAGTAAGTCTAAGTCTAAAACTTATCAACATTAATATAGATCTATACAAGATAAAGAAACTACATAAAAAACATTTTAATCAAACAATAAATTGGTTCATTTTGAAAAAAAAAAGTATATATATATATATATATATATACCGTATATACTTTTTTCATAGCTTGCAATATTGTTTTATTTATTTTGTATTTTGGCGACACCTTTAGACCGGCTGGTGGAACTGCAGAACAACGTTCAAAGATCGTGAATTTCACAGATGCTCCTCACCTCTTTGAAAAGCATACACACTGTCTTTGTGTTGGCAGGTGAGGACGACCACCGTCCATGGAAACTCGCCGGTCTGCGGCATCTCGTCCGAGCTGTGAGCCGCCAGTGGAGGCCTGAATCAGCCGGTAGTTTAGAAACAGGCCTGCAGCTCAGAGCGGAGTCTGTCTGACTGGTTGAACCGCTGCCACGAACCAAACTCCGCACGGAAAAGCATCAACGGCTAGTTAACCAAACTAACTAACAAACGGAGGAGAGGGTTAGAGGCTCTACGGATGAAGTGAAACCAAAAGAACATCATTCAGCATCAAAATGATATTGGTTAAAACCTAATTAAAGGGAATGAATGACGAAAAAGGTGTATATTGATGTAATCGCGCCGCGGTTTAACCTTTGCCTGTTTTGATCGGAATGTTTTGAATGTGCGGGCTTCCGTAGGCGTTTGATTTCCTCTGTTGGGTTGCCCACCGGGGCGGTGGATCAACGCAAAAAGCTGCTGCAGTCCTGACTAATGGGATGGATTAAATACATTATATTCTATATTCTTTTATCTTGAAAATGTTTGGTCGCATAATTTCAAGATGAAAGGCTCCTCCATGTAAACGTTAAAAAAGTTTATATCCACATAAGGAAATAATTCATAGGAAAGTTGTTAAACTCTTGGAAATCGATGTTAAACTGTACCTTGTTTCAAATAAACGCAAGCATTACTTTTGGATTAATACAAGTATCCTCTTAGTTTTGTGACTTATTTTTAGGTTTTATATTTAGATATTTCCTCTATTCAATTTTTTTTAATGTGCGCCAGTGTTTTAAGAAAACTTTGCTTGGATACAAAGTCCTAAAATAAAGGTTGCAACCTGCAGCTGTGGGTTAATCCAATTTATTCTATATGTTATTCATTCAAAATTATTCAGATTTTTTTTAAATTGCATACAATAGATAATAGAAAGTAAAACATGGGTTGATGATGCAAAGTTTGTGGTGGTGATCAGAGGGCTAATTGAGCAGGCATGTGCAGGAAAGACTTGATTGATGAAAAGTTATGTTTAAAGAACAGAAGCTCTACATCAGGCATCCCCAAAGTCGGTCCTGGAGGGCCGCTGTCCTGCAGGTTTTAGAGGTTTCCCTGCTTTAGCACAGCTGATTATGATGATTGCAGTAGAGCAAAAGCCTGTTAATCAACTATCAATTAAAAATCAGCTGTGCTGGAGCAGAGAAACATCTAAAACCTGCAGGACAGCGGCCCTCCAGGACCGAGTTTAGGGATGCCTGCTCTACATCCTCCCAACACTGATAAAGCTGCAGCTAGAATGGAGCATTAGGATTTGGGATCAGTTGTCAGGGAAACATCTGAACTCCAACCTGGGGTTCAGTTCTCAATAAGCAGAAGGAATACAGACCAACAAATGGGTTAGTCAGGATTGGTGATGATTTGAGAAAATGGAAGAAGTTTGTAAAAGGAATTAAAACTGCGATGATACTCAGACAAATCCTTCAGTTTTCCTGAGTCTTTAATAAAAAAAGCTGGACAGAAAACAGATCACTGAAACGTTGTGACTCCATGTTTAAAAAGAAAGTAAAAACATGTTTATTGAACTTTACAGCAGAATTCATTTGTCATTATATACAGATGTACATTAAAAAGCCACTAGAGATGCTCAGTCATCCTCCTCATCCTCAGTGGGCAGAGGTCTGGACCTGCAAACAAACAAAAACGTATAAAAAAAAAATAATTAGGTAAAAAGCGACTGGCATCCAGCTCAACTCACATCTATGGCAGTTCCAGGTAAGGTGAAAAAAATGCTACGAGAACGAGCAAAAGAGAAGTTTAAGTTCTGTTTTTTCCCCCACAGGTGACACTTTCAGTAAGCGGTTAGAATCGAAAGACAGTCTAAGAGTTATTCTACCAGAGATTGGGTTTGATAGCTGGACAGCTGTTGAAGGTTTGATACAAACCATCACTTAATTAACTATTAAATGATTGAAAAGTAGCCATTAAAAAAAAAAAAAAACATAATGAGGTTTCTCTTGCATCAAGAGGATCTTTCTATAACATGAATGGCTAAGATTTTTTATTCAGCAAATTGATTAAAAGTACATCAACTTTTACTTATTTATTATGCCACCTGTATTAAACACAGACTTACTGACTTAACAGGAGCCTATTAGGTTATTGAGTAATTAAAAAAAGGATAAATATGAAGCAGGCGCTAGCTCTGTTTTTTAGTGGAAGCCATCTATCTGTTCTGGGAGAGACCGTTAGTCATTACCTCATAAAGCGTCTCAATCTACCATGCTAACAGCTAGCATGTCTTCTATCCTGTTCCAAATGTTTAGCTTAATTCCCTGCATTTTTCTATCATTGTCTCCTTCTGATCCCAGCTGAGAAGATCTGCTGCTCCTCCATGCAGGCCTATTAAGGACTGAAAGAGTTTAGATTCACTAACAGAACCACAGAAAGTCCTTTCTGGATCTTAGGATCCATAAAACAGTGTAAATAATCCAGACCAAATCCTGGATCCATTCAGGGTTCTGTTTAGTGAACCACTGAAAGAAATCCCCTCCAATCCTGTAGAAAGAGCCTTTAGATGACATGTTGGGAAATGGGGTCATACTCAATCCAACTTTAGACAGCTGTTGCTTAAAAACAAGCTGCTGTTTGTAAACAACAAGCATCTGTCCTTGTTTAAATTTAAAATAGCTGCATATATTCAGTTGTATGCTCGCTCGTCTCGCACGTTACACGTAAAACATCATTTGGCGATTAAGCTTTTCCCCCCTGAAGGTAAACCCATCTCTGTCCGGATGTAAAAAAAAAAAAAAAAAAAGGTGTTGAATATTTGTTCTGATCAGGACGGGAGATGTTTCTGCTCTCAGCGGACACTGTGTGTAACCTAGAAAACTACACATAGACAGGTTGCTTGGACAATCATTGGAAAGAAGCAAGCAAAGCATGTTGCAAGTTACGACAAAAAAGGTTTGGAAAGTAGAAACGCAACCAGAGCTTAAACTTTTTCAGAATAAAATCCAAATATTTCTGATTTAATCGTCTGTTTTCAACAAAAATATAGACGTTCAGCATAAACTTAAAGAATATTTTCCCAGATTTTAAAACATGCAGAGATTTTTTAACAGCAGCTGTTCTGCTGCTCATAACATCTTTATGAAACAATTGATCGGACCAAACTATTTTTGGAATATTTGTCAACAATTTAGTTACCGAATAACTGGAGTAACGAGACTGTAAATATTGAATTTAAGATCAAAAGATTCATTTTCATCCGTCTCTATGCTCTATCCAGAACTCCTCAAATGGAAAAGTTTCACCTGGTTTGCCATCTGATTATTAATCAGGAAAAAAAAAAATTGGACAGATTTTATATAAAATAACGTGAGCTGTTTTATTCAGTCAGATGTTATTTCAAATAAAACTTCCAAATATGGAAATAAATCCACAGATTTCTCCCCCTTTCAGTTAAGTAAAATTGCCTCTAAATGAACAGGCAGCGCTTCCCAACCCTCGTTTGAGTCGATCCTGCAGAATCGGCTCAGTGTCTTCATGTCTCTGCTGCTGACCCACACAGATCTGACTGGATATGAAGTAGGGGTGTAAATCACACCCATCATGGCGAATCGATTCAGCATCAATTTCCTGACCCAACGATTCGATCATTTTCGATACTCAAGAATACTTCACCAAATACTTCCACACAAATGACTTGAACCCCAGAGGGGTGTATAAGTCATCTTTTCCCTCCGCCATGACTGTCTTGCCTACTGTTTATGTGTGTGCGCATGCGGTAAGAGGGTAGTGACTAAAGGAAGTGAGGTAGGAGGGCAAAATAAGTTTAGTGCCACCGCAGGACAGGAGTTAGAATGACACCCAGGAGCAAATGGATAAAAATAAGACCGGAGAAAAAAAATATCGATGTCGATGCATCAATACAAAACGATTATTATTTACGCCCCTAATATGAAGCTGCTGATTATCAGACATACTTCCTGCTGGGCTTGGACATCCCGCTGCCGCCGGCCTCCTCCTCATCGGACTCTGTGGGTTTCTGGTTCTCCTTCTCTGGTTTTCTGGGAGGGCCCCCAAAGAAATCTCCGATGCCTTTCTGCCAGGTAGGGGTGGGGCGAGGACACACAGGATTCCCGCCAGCGTATTTGTTCTTTGCTGTGAAAGCCAAACTTCAGCATCAGTCACGTCTCATACAGGCAGCGTGTTCAGCTCTATGTGTGTCTTAATTCTGACTGACCTGGAGTGGAACAGCTGCTGCCGGATGACGACGCCGCGTTGGCCGAACTGGCGCCCAGCGACTTCCGGGGTGCAGAAGCTGCAACAGCTGTAAGACAAGGTCCGACAAGCTGATCAGAGGGAAAAAAATAAACAGACTAAGGAGATAAAAAGCTTTTCCAGAGAGTTTGAGTCTAACCTGGACTGTTCCCAGTATCCAGAACACAAAGAAGCACCTTAGTGCATCTAATATAAGCTCATCTAAAAACTGTGCTCTGATTAGATAGTAAAAACATTACTGCCTTTGAGAAACATGCAAAATAAAATTAGACATATCTATATATTAGATCATGTAATGCATTTTAACAAATGTTTAATAAACTTCATTATGTCGCCCACGTTTGTAAATCAAAGGGAATTTTGTGAAAGGTTTGAAGCTTTACCAGTCATTCTAGAAAATTAACATAATCATTTAGTACATGTACAAAATTACACAATCTTAATTCAACTCTTTCAGTTTTTGATTTCACCATCCCATGTTGATGCATTGCTCTGATGGATACTGGTTAGATTTCAATAACAGAACAGAGAGTGGTTAGGGTTAAGTTATTTTTCAAAATAACTTATTTTTGCTTGTAAATGTATCCCATAACTTTATGGGCTAAATAGAAAATAATCCATAAATAAACTTTAAACATTTATGCGCGACAGTGCAGTAAATACATTTATTAATAAGGGACTTATCAAAAATATGCAGTTTACACCAACTAAAGAAAAATATATATTGACTTTTTTCACACCGAATTTGAAAACGTATTTTAATATATTAAACTACCAATTTTATATTGTGTTGCTGTATTTTTACCTCTGGATACAAGCTGGAACAGATAAAACAATACATTTGCGAACGGAGTTTGGTGGTACCTTCTAACAGAGAGGCGCTAAAAACTGGCGCCAGTTTGGCAGAAAGCTGAACAGAACCAACACAGCAAATTTGTCCTGAATATCAGATAAGTCTGAATATTCATATTTACGCGCATTTATTATAGAAAGGCGACTTTAAAGGAATAAGACATGCAGTTTTATTCAATAAGGACCGAAAAGAGCGCAACCAGCCTCCTGTTGGCGGGAGACGATCTAAAGATGAAAGCAAATTATTAAACTCACCAAACGTCATAATAATCGCATGCTGTGATTAATAAAATTAATTCAAACCCTAAGTTGGAGAAATCTTCTAAACTTTCAGGTTTATGTTGGTTCGTCATGGAGTTTGCTTATTGTTGTTTAATCCGCCAGATTCA